GATGACAATTCTGTGTGGGGGGGTCAGGGGGATTTCTCTGTTGGGTGAGATTTAATTAAAGTTTTTGTTTTTCAAGGTAGCATTCTAATCAGGTAAAGCAAGTAATATTCTCTGTCTTTATATATATATATATATGTATGTATGTATGTATGTATGTGTGTGTGTGTGTGTGTGTGTGTGTGTGTGTGTAAAGTGTAGGGGTGTGCGATATGACGATTTTTAATCGTGGACGATTAAAATGTCTCCACGATCTGCTTTTGAAGAAATATCGTAGTATCGTGTTACAGTGCATTCTATCAGTTCAGTTCTGGCGCCCCGTCTCAACTGTACAACGCGACGCAGCCTACACATGATCACACGTTAATGAACAGGTACGGGACACTGCAATTCACAAAAGTTCATTATTTGCATAAGCCTTGCCGGTTAAACATTTAATTCAGGCGCTGATGTGCTGTTCTAACGTGTGCTTTCCTGACCGCATAAATTACCCACGACAATCACAGGCACTAGAAGCCTGTCAAACAGCGCCTGAATACTGGACTAAGTTATCTTTTGAGTCTTATTATGCTAATACTGTTAAATACACACAATGTTTACATAAACAGGCTATGTCTAAAGTGAAAGCAAACATTTGAGAGAATATCTGGTGTAATATGCGTCTATATTAAACGTGTCGCGTGCTGGTCAAAGCGACAGGAATAAATAGTACTGCCGCACGTCCTTAAAGGGATAGTTCACCAAAAAAAATAAAAATAATAATCTGTCATTATTTACTCACTCTAATGTTGTTAGACCATTAGCCCAAATTTACGCAAAGTAACTACTTAAACACTAGTTAAAGCCCGAATTACGCAAAATAACTAATTGAGTTGAAATCATTTGCTGACAGCTTGGTCCCCCCCAGTTAAAAAATCCTATCTACTCCACTGAAAATAATACAATCCCTATCAAATTCAAAAGACTTTTGGGGAATTGATTGCTCGCTCATTAAAAAACATGGGGAACTTTTAACACCGGTTATTACATACATTGTGAATAAATCTATTGAAGAGAGCATCTTTCCCAGTGTATTTAAAACAGCAGTTATAACCCCAATATACAAATATGGAGGTAAAATTGAAATAAGCAACTACAGGCCTATTAGCATAATGCCTGTAATATCTAAAATACTCGAGAAAGCCATCATAGAGCAGCTAACTGATTACCTCAACTGTAATAATTTGTTGCACCCCATGCAGTTCGGCTTTAGACGCAATCATTCCACCGATGCAGCCTGCTGCTATCTGACGGAAAATATAAAGGCCAGCTTGGATGGAGGGGGCAAAGTGGGGGCCGTGTTTTTGGACTTACAAAAAGCATTTAACACGGTGAACCACAGTGTCCTCCTGTCTAAGCTTTCTAAGTATAATCTGTCTATAGAGACATTAAATTGGATACAATCATATCTTGCAAACAGGTTGCAATGTGTGAGGTTAAAAAATATATTGTCCACTCTGAAGCCCAGCACAACTGGGGTCCCGCAAGGATCAATTCTGGGACCCTTGTTGTTTAGTATTTATATCAATGATCTCCCAGCTGTGTGCAAGGGCGTGGATATCATCATGTATACAGATGATGCCGTCATCTACACACATGGGAGGGCTATGGACAAAATAAGAAATTGGCTAAAGTCTTCTTGCTTAAAGGGTTAGTTCACCCAAAAATGAAAATTAAGTCATTAATTACTCACCCCCATGCTGTACCAACCCCGTAAGACCTTCGTTCATCTTCGGAACACAAATAAAGATATTTTTGATTGAATCTGAGGGCTGGATCACTTTTCCATAGACAACCTGAGGGACTGCCTCTTGACGGCCCAGAAAGTCATTAAAATAAAAGGTTTAAATATTCCATGTGCCTACAGTGGCTCAACTATAACTTTATCAAGCGACGAGACTACTTTTTGTGCGAAAAAAAAACGTAAATAACGACTTTATTCGACTTTCCATTACTTCCTTATGGGCGCATGCGCGAGAACTGAGACGAGACCGTTCTTCTTTGACTACTTTTTGTTACCGGCTGCTCACCGCTTAGAAGTTTTACCGCCCCCTACCGTATAAGATGACGTACTGATATAGCCGGAGGCGCAAAACGTTCTGTTTACAAGCAGTACGTCATCTTATACGGTAGGGGGCGGTAAAACTCCTAAGCGGTGAGCAGCCGGTAACAAAAAGTAGTCGAAGAAGAACGGTCTCGTCTCAGTTCTCGCGCATGCGCCCATAAGGAAGTAATGGAAAGTCGAATAAAGTCGTTATTTACGTTTTTTTTTTCGCACAAAAAGTAGTCTCGTCGCTTGATAAAGTTATAGTTGAGCCACTGTAGGCACATGGAATATTTAAACCTTTTATTTTAATGACTTTCTGGGCTGTCAAGAGGCAGTCCCTCAGGCTGCCTATGGAAAAGTGATCCAGCCCTCAGATTCAATCAAAAATATCTTTATTTGTGTTCCGAAGATGAACGAAGGTCTTACGGGGTTGGTACAGCATGGGGGTGAGTAATTAATGACTTAATTTTCATTTTTGGGTGAACTAACCCTTTAACACTAAATACTAAAAAACTGATGGAATGTATTTTGCTAAGTCAAACAAATGTAAAAATTTGCCTAACATCTATTTTAATGGGCAAAAATTACCATTGTGACAGAGATAAATATTTAGGTGTCCATCTCAAACGTTAAGTTTTAAAAACATTAAAAGAATGTCTAACTCTATTAATTATCTCTATTTGAAATTTCTATTTTCAAACATATTAGGAATAGTTTGACAATTGAGGCAGCTTTCATGTTTTTTAATGCCATAATTTCTTCTCACATCACTTATTGTTTGTCCTGTTGGTCTCAGGCCAACGAGACCACAATTAAACCACTCAGATCAGTCTAAAATCAGGCGTTAAAGGTGCTTGACAGAAAAGCCCAGGGCTATCATCATTGCAATATTTTACGTAAATACAAAGTACTAAGTTTTGATTCCCTAATTTTATTTACAAATTTAAGAACTGTTTTTGAAAAAATTCATAAAACTTTATTCGGAACAAACAAACCGAACATCTCAAATCAACGGTTCACAAAAATTTGGCTATCCCGAAAAGATCCTACGCCTTTGCACGGACAGCTTATTCATTTAAAATCATAAAACAATGGAATCAACTCCCCAACAGTTTAAAGCTGTCTGTAGATGTGAACCATTTTTCTCAAAACTTAAAGAAATACATTCTTGAGAACCAGCTGTGTCAGCATCAGTGCATTTAATGTATATATTATGGGTAGAGATGGTCTTTTGAATGTGTTCTCTCATCTTGTACACCTGATTGTTTTTATACATGACCTTCATAGACTAATATTATGTGTAGCTTATAGGGCTGTGAATCTTTGGGTAGACAGCGAATCGATTCGATTCACGATTCATAGGTTTTCGATTCAAGAACGATTTGTGCAAATTCAGAACGATTCAATTCGATGCGATTCACATGCAAATTCGATGCGATTCGATTAATTCGATTCGATTCTTAATTTTTTATATGCATTATAGTATTATTTCAATGCTTCACCCAATGGGTCTTTGTCTGGGTTTGAATTAGCCTACACAGCGGCCTAAGGGGGTCAGATAGTGGGGATTTTGTCCATTGTTAATGTTGGTTCATGTTTGTTTTTAATTTTAATGAATATATTATTATAAGGCAAGGCAAGGCAAGTTTATTTATATAGCACATTTCATACACAGTGGCAATTCAAAGTGCTTTAAATGGGAGAAATTAAAATAATCAAAAGAAATCAGAATAATTAAAACAATTTAGAATTAAAAATAAAATGAAGTACAGTAATAGTCGGACGAACCGTGGCACATATATAAAACAGTGGCACATTTATTAAAAAAAAAAAAATCAATGGCCTACAAATTAGCATTTATAGAAACAAGTAGCCAATATTTTGAAAAAGGCTTTTAAAGTGTTGCATTAAATGACTACATGTACAAATTAATGGAGAGGAGACGTTTTCATTAGTTTCATTTTGCGTCCTCTCAGTGCACTGGATTTTGCTCGCGCTCGGTCCCATAGCTCTCATGTAACTACAGATTTTTGAGCAGTCCATGTTTGAGCTCTGTCGAGAAAGCAATAGTTTTGAGGCAAACCGCTCAAGCCATTGATAAAGCTGCCATGCCATTGCGTGGGCATTATGAAATAAAACGCTTTCATTCATTTATTACATGGAAAGACTCTCCGTACACGCAAGGTGGTCTCTCGCTCGCATTCCCTCTCTGCCGAGAGCATGCAGCCGTGTGTGAACGCGCGATACGCGGTTTAGAGCACAACCTCTGTCTCGCATGCACGCTCGCTCTAGATTCCGGGAGATTTGAACTAATTTGCGGTAATACTAGCTGATCACGACACGAGTAGCTCAACAGGTAGAAAGATAAACTCATCTTTCAGGCATTTGACCAACCGGGCTTCAGCGTGAGAAATCAGGGGTGTGTGAACGCGCTTGAAACCAATCAAATGTGGATGTCTTATGACGGCCAATGCGTGAGGCAGCTTCTACCAGGAACACTTTAAGGTTGTGTTTATATATTTTAAACCACTGAATCGCTATAAAATCGCGATTAATTCGATTCTTAGCCTTTTAAATCGATTACTCACGTAAATAAACGATTCACGATTCAAAATACATGTTTCAGGATCGATGCATATGCATCGTCAGGATTTATAATCGATGCATCGAGAAAACGAGTGAATCGTTACACCCCTAGTAGCTTACATTACTATTGATAGTTGTTTTGTAATGTAATGTTTTATAATTTGTGTGCACCTGACCGGGGACTGCGGATGAAAATTACCTTCGGCTAACTCTGGCACAAAACATCTCTTCGTAAGACTAATGTATTTTGTGCATTGTCCCTGATAAATAAATAAAGGAAGGAAATAAAGGAAGGCAACAAAATATTAGAGCACACCCTGCTGAGACTCACCGGAGTTGGCGAAGATCTGGCTGCCGTCTGCAGTGAAGGCGGTGGCACACACCGTCCCGTTCAGCTTCATGCTGCGCACCACTTCCCTGGTCTGAGGAACACACACACACACACACACACGTCACTCAGCAGCCGAGCGCAGGCACTGACACACAAATCTCTGCATTACAGCGAGTGAGTCTGTACCTTTGAGCTCATGAGATGCAGAAACCCAGAGGATCCGAACAGAAGAAGAAACTTCCCATCGGGAGAAACCTGGAAGTCTGACACCTTCTGCTCATTCAGACCTGACACACACACACCAAGGTCAGGGGAAACATGCTTCACACACACACCACACGAGTGGCCTGGGGACGCTCACCTCGTACGTTGGAGACGGGGATGACTCTGCCCTCCATCATGTCGTAGATGTAGAAGAGCTTGTTCCTCCAGCCGGTCGCCACGATCTGCTCGCCGTCAGCGCTGAACGCCGCCTTGTTCACCGGGAACTTCTCCAGGTGGATCGTCTGGATCTTGGCGTTGGTCTTGCCATCCACCTGGAAACCAGGAACCGCAGGGTTATCATCATCATGTAGAGCAGGTCCTTCAAAACTGACCAGACCAGCACAGTCCACACCAGAACCATCAACCCCCTCACAGCCAATCAGAAGAGCGTGTGGGTGGAGTCTCTGCACTCAACCAAATCAACACACACTCACAGCCAATCAGAAGAGCCTGTGGGCAGAGTCTATCAGGAGAGAGTCATATCAGGATAGTTTAAAATATCAATATAAATGGATACATATAACAAGAGGTTACTTTATGACAAATTACAGAAAAAAAGAGTACATAGTAAAAAAAAAAAAATTATTTAATTTCATACTCTAATATGTACAGTCTCCGATGTTAAATACCTTTACAATTTCTATAGTTTACCTCTTTTCACATCAAGATGCAATTTTAAATATCTATATAGACTGATACATAAAGCAAAACAAACGTATGCATATAGCCAGTTACAAGAAAGGAGAAAAATCCAATTCCATGTTTAGACCTGGGTATTGATTAGCTTTTAAAGTGTAAATCCAAAAAGATTCTCTTTGCAAAAGTTTGAGTCTATCTCCCCCTCTTGGTGATATTTTAACATGTTCTATCCCAAAGATTTTTAAAGTATCGCTATTTCCGTGGTTCACCTCTCTATAATGTAAAGCCATAGGGTACTGGTAGTTGCTTGTTCTTATTGCATATTTATGCTCTGCTAATCTTTCTTTAAGTTTACGCTTAGTTCTTCCAATATAAAAACAACCACAAGGACATTCAAGTCTGTAGACAACGAATGAGGTATTGCAATTAATAAATGAATACTGTATTCGCGATTTGATGTCACATCTGTAAAAATATTGGTCTTTACCATATTGCTACAATGATTACAGTTTCCACACTTATAATTACCTCTTATTTTGCCTAGCCAGGTTTTATTCTCTACAGGAGGCATATAGCTTTTCACAAGACTATCTTTTAGAGTAGGAGCTCGTTTAAAGGTGATAGTAGGTACCTCCGGCAGTATATCTCTCAACACGGTATCACTTTTTATTATATCCCAATTCTTCTTGATAATTTGCTTTATCTTATTAGCTTGACTACTGTATTGTGTAACAAAACTTGGTTTGGCTCTTGTTGTCGCCCCTGTTTTTGAACCATCAGCTGTTCTCTACCAAATTCTTTTTACTCTATTGTAGGCTATATCTAGAGTCTTATGTTTATACC